GATGGCTGAGTGGTTAGCATGTGCACTGTATCATATGGTCTGTCAATGGGTCAACTGGTGTATGTTTTATTCCCCGGTTACGTGACAAGGAGTAGGTTCGCCTGTCCAACCTCGTGGGTTTTCTCTGGGTTCTCTGGTTTCTTCCTCAGTCATTGTTTTTTGAGGCGCGCGATCAATCGCGAGAGCGTCTGTCGCGTACCTGAATGTTGACTGAGGGGAGGTTTTTCTCCCTCGCCTTAAAATTTAACATCGCTCTCCTTATTTTTAAATCATGGACATGTGTATTTTATTTTTTAAATGAGTGTGAAAGACTCGCATTCTGATCGCTGCCATTCTGTCACTGTGAACATTTATTTGGTGTATTCGATTAGTGTATAATGTGAACGTACATGGTAATAAAATTCCGATGAATATGCTGCTAAAAATAGATGGCACCAATGTGTCCTTGGTTTATTTTACTGAAAGTATAAATCTCGCGAGAAAAAATAGATTATATTTTGATAGAATTGTCAAGCGAATATATTGTGAATAGGGGTTATGTTTTTAAACAAAATTTATACAAGCTATATATATTTAGAAATGTCGACAAGTATCTCTATTGGAAGTATTTCTATGTAATTATAAGACGACAGCAGAAGTTTGACTTGACTGTACAAATACGAGTGCTATTATTTAACAGACGATGTTTATCATTTATGTAACCAGGAATGACCCCATTTCTCTCTCTCTCTCACTTTTCAATGGCATGGACAATAACTCTACAAATGATTGATGAGCAATTTGGAATGTCTGTCAGTAGTTGAATAGATGAATGGGATTTAACGCCCACTCGACACAAACTAGGTCATTCGGGACTAACACTTTGTACAATTTTATTTTAATATAACCAACAAGTCTGGACAGGCAACCAGAATGCTTGTCACGTACAAACTTGAGAATTGAAACCTTGCCACGTGACTACTTAATGATATGCCTTATAATATAAAGTGTAAGCATTAGATCAGCCCACACTCCCAGAACCACTCACCGAGTAATTAGATAATAAAATATACATTTACAATTAAAAACACATAATGCATAATCATTAAAAATACATCTACTGGTACATTAAAAACACATAATAATACATTAAAAAAACACATTTATAAGGAATACAATCCCTGATTTATTATACATGTGGCATATTGGTTCGACAAGTGTTCCCTGAAAACATTATTCATGCAGTTTAGAAGATAAACATTGCATTTAAATGTGTGACATCATGGTGCACTACATACAACGTAATATAGTGTAAACTAGTTCACCTTTAACCATGTACCTTGATTATAGTTTGTAATATACAACCTAATATAGTCTAAACGTAGTTCACTTTTAACCATGTATCTTGAGAATAGTTTGTAATATACAACCTAATATAGTGTAAACTAGTTCACTTTTAAACATGTACCTTGAGAATAGTTTGTAATATACAACCTAATATAGTGTAAACTAGTTCACTTTTAAACATGTACTTTGAGAATAGTTTGTAATATACTACTAATATAGTGTAAACTAGTTCACTTTTAAACATGTACTTTGAGAATAGTTTGTAATATACAACCTAATATAGTGTAAACTAGTTCACTTTTAAACATGTACTTTGAGAATAGTTTGTAATATACTACTAATATAGTGTAAACGTAGTTCACTTTTAACCATGTATCTTGAGAATAGTTTGTAATATACAACCTAATATAGTGTAAACTAGTTCACTTTTAAACATGTACTTTGAGAATAGTTTGTAATATACAACTTAATATAGTATAAACATAGTTCACTTTTAACCATGTATCTTGAGAAAAGTTTGTAATATACAACCTAATATAGTGTAAACTAGTTCACTTTTAAACATGTACTTTGAGAATAGTTTGTAATATACAACCTAATATAGTGTAAACTAGTTCACTTTTAAACATGTACTTTGAGAATAGTTTGTAATATACTACTAATATAGTGTAAACGTAGTTCACTTTTAACCATGTATCTTGAGAATAGTTTGTAATATACAACCTAATATAGTGTAAACTAGTTCACTTTTAAACATGTACTTTGAGAATAGTTTGTAATATACAACTTAATATAGTATAAACATAGTTCACTTTTAACCATGTATCTTGAGAAAAGTTTGTAATATACAACCTAATATAGTGTAAACTAGTTCACTTTTAAACATGTACTTTGAGAATAGTTTGTAATATACAACCTAATATAGTGTAAACTAGTTCACTTTTAAACATGTACTTTGAGAATAGTTTGTAATATACTACTAATATAGTGTAAACGTAGTTCACTTTTAACCATGTATCTTCAGAATAGTTTGTAATATACTACTAATATAGTCTAAATGTAGTTCGCTTTTAAACGCAGTTCATTTTAAACATGTAACTCGAGAATAGTTTGTTGTCCAAGATGATTTTTCCGACTTCTGAATAACAATTCCAACTCTTTATTCATTCTATGACTAAATCTGAAAATGGTTGGAATGGCATCTGTTGGAAGACACAACCTTGTCGCTGAACTTGAATTTGTCAATGTAATGATCGGTACTAATGTTCCACAACCAAAGAATTGGTCTATGTCTTTCCATTGGTCTTTTATGTTGGTGTGGATTTTCAATATAGGTTACATTCCAATTTTTACAGGTCTTATCTAAACACCAAAAAGCTGCCCATTCAGGCATATCGTCTGTAAGGTTAGTGTACTCTGACATCACAATTTGCCGACGTAACTATCCATCCTAGTTTTGATTGGCTGAGAAATATCAATGAACAGGAACATGGCGCCACCAATGTAGTGACGTTTATTAAATAGAATAAGCCTTTTTTATTTTAATATTTTATAATTGTTTATTGTTTTTTTTTTTACCAGAGTACTTATTATGACTAAGCAAAATAACCTGCTTGTGTGAACATGTCCTTTAAAATAAACGACAGATCTAAAAGCACATGTAATACAAGTGTATATAAAGTGATTTATATTTTTAAAAAATTCAAATTTGTAATTTCAATCAATTATTTTTGTTAAAATACATCAATGGCAGTAGGTCGCATCTGCTTATTCCATTCTATGCGTTTTTTTTTAAATTATTTTGTTGTTTGTGAGTCAGTCATTTTTAATTACTTCTACATTGTATTGTGGGATATGTTTTCTTTGTAAATTACAAATGACGCTTGAAATCATAGAATACTCAAGTCATGTACTGATTAGAAAATGTTGATTACACGAGTAATGTCATAACATCAACATTCATTGAAATGGACCCACATTGAGTTCCAATTTGTGTTTTTAATTTTAAATATTATGGATAATACCGAGTTAGAGGTTCAGACCCTTTAATGTGCTGAATAGGTAAATGGCACTCAAAGATTATATAAAGGTATATTAATATGTATACGTAAAATAAAAACTAAAAGGCTGCCAGAATGATGACCAATGATAATATGTAACCACTGCACTTTCATTTGTTGAACTTATCAAACTACACGATATTTTTTTCAACTTAAAGTAATGTCAAAGTCAAGATTTCTTCATTCTGAAATCTGTTGCAACCATTTCTCTCATACCATAAAAAGAAATAATAGCAGTAGTGTTTGATCACTGTTACAAAGTAGAAGACATTATATGGTGACATTCGTCTTATGTTAAGGGAAGAGAATTGAAAGGGAGTTATTATAAAGATAGCAAGGTCAAAAAAAAGTATTATCAACACTCATGTGTAGGCAGTATGATAAAATTATACTTGTCATTAGAAACAACATAATTTCCCTGAAATATATACTCAAAAAAAAAAAAATTACGTGCACTATATAAATTAGGATGTCTGCAAGCTATTTTGAATAGAAAAATGCCTACACCATCCAGCTAATAATATGTATCAAGCACAAAATTTTCACTGGCTAAATAATTTAACGCCAACTATCCTCAACCAATTTTTATAGTTTAGTTTTCATCATAATTATACACAAATTTGGTATTTAAACAAAAATCAAAATTTTCTTGATGCAATAGAGATACTTCTTTAATAATTGTGCAGTTATGTTGGACTTTTTAAAAAAAAAAAAAAAAATTCATTTTGTTCTTTACTTCAAGAAACAGATTTACTTTACTGATATATTTGATGTAGTTTATATTAGACGTGTGATAGCTATATCACGTCTTCATTAACCCAGTTGGAGCAGAACAGTGGGACGTTAAACACCATTTCATTTCATTTGCTATATATGACATTTACTGCAAACTAGATTCCAAAATTGATTTTTTATGAGAGTTAAAATACGATAGTTAATTCCAATCTGCTATGTTTATATTCTGTTGGCCTGATATTGTTAAGAGACAAAATCACCCAATATATGAATTATTTATGTAATATCATGTATGTGTTTCTAGTAAAATCTTTGATTTATGTGTGCAGGAGTCTTATGTATGCGTTGTGAAATGGGGCCTTGAACTGTATCTTTTAATTTGGGCTATTAAATTCCAGTTTATAAAGTTAAAGATACATTATGGGAGATTAGATAAAGAGCTGGCAGTTTGCACTATAATAGTTAAAAACTAAATAATGTAAAGGGGATTTGCTGAAAATTTCAGTCAAATTGATCCACTCTGAACCAATATTTTAGCGATTGAATTTTCGGCCTAGCCTCGATCATCATTACTAAAGTCAGTACGATAAAAAACATAGTTTCGATTATCCATTTCTTGATTTAATCATGAATGAGCGTTGGGCAGCAGATCAGATCCTAATCCAGTAAACATTGCAGGCTAGCGTTGACATCAAGAGTTGATTATGGTCTGGATAAATTAATTAATGTCTAATTAATAATTTAGATAACATTTCAGGCCTAAAGGAAGACCTGCAATAGGCAGATTTAGTTCTTGGATAATGTATGGTTAAAGAAAATTAGATAAAAAGTTTTTAAGTTCTTGTACAATGCATTTAAACACATTGTTAATATACTGACCTTTGAGGCATCTATTTTCACTACTTGAGATTCAGCTGTTTCTATTGGACGAATGGCAGCTGCTTTACTGAAAATACAATTACATTTGATTAAATTCATTCATGTACAAATTTTTCTACACCCACAAACATCTTTTTCTCTCCAGCGATACTTCATTAGAATTCTACCTTCTTTTTTTATCATTGTTACCAAATATAAACAAGAATATCTAAACTGCAACTATACAAAAGCTTTAAATGAATTTGAAATGTTTTGATGATAACTTTAGCTTCAAAAACAACCAGAAAATTCTTCAGTCATCAAATTCATCAATGTGAATAACAATGAAAAGTCAAAGGATTATCAATCTAATGAAGGGTTGTTACATTTAAAAATAAGGTGTAGGAATGTTACTTTATAAATTGCTGGTTGTAAGCGTGACAGGATGTATATAATCTTTTAAAAAACTTCTATTGGTACAAAGGTTAATAAATAGTATACATTCATTTTGTTGATTGAGCCATGGTATTATTTTAAACTAGAGTAGAACAGTCCTCATCAATATAAATATAAATATACAATCCATACATTTCAAAAAATTATCTGATAACAAAAAATTTAAAAATAGGTTGCCAGGCAACAAAATCATTATAAAAAATCTGAAGTTATACAGGCATCTTTATGGCAATTTGGGATCACTCATATATCTTAAGAGTCAACCACCCCATTTCAATGCGAGTGTATAAAAAAAAGTTTTTTGTACTAATGTAAATAAAATTAACATATGAATATGACGTCTGACTGATGCGTTAAAAGAGATGTGTTGATAGTAATAATATCATTTATGTTCACAGATCAAATAGGTGTGACCACAGATATTAAAACAGAGTCAACAGACATTATTGATATTTCAAATTTAGATAACCTATTAGATAAAATGAAAGGAAATGGGGTTTTATAGTATGAAGATGAACACATGTCATGAAGTATGCTACGATGAGGGAAGTTTTGCCCAGACAGTATCAGTGAGTTATCACTAATTCTTTATCAAATCTCAAATATCACAGGTTCTTTTATGTGCATGCCAATGCAACACATATAAGATCCTCAGACAGTTGGAATTTGAATCAGGTTAGGAAGATATAATATGAGTTGAAATCTCATGACAAATATAAATCAATATAACCATATATTATTCTCAAAAATGTCTGATTAATTTCTGGGAGCAATATCAGAATTTGTCCATCCAATTTTTCTTACACTACATAGGGCCTAACTGACCTGAGGTAACCCTAATGTTCGCAGTACATAGATACGGCTAACTGATTGGTGGACAGATTCAAAATTCCAGCCAATTTCATACATCGAACAAGCCAACAGAGAGGCTAATGTCCCCTGCAGCAATCCAAATTAAATAGATGACACATGTTAATTAATTGCATATTTATCTTTTTGAAAAGCACTGAGTAATGCGCTAAAAGCTCATGATCAAATATCAGATTTTGATGTAGGGAACCTATACACCAAGTGACCAATTTCATCACTCTCACTCAATTAGAATTAAAGCATAGATTATTCACATTGCTTATCTCCACATAACCTGAGTAGAAAATGTTAACCTTCAAACTCATACACAGGGGCGGATTGGGCCATCGGACCATCGGGGGTGTTGGACCGGCCATGGAGAGATGATGATCATGTTGTATGTGGCTGGTGGCTTTAACGGGCCGCCACGCCATCACTGGAGTCTGCAATGGGCTAGTATTATAGACTTCATGAATTTCATTTTCGTCACTCTGTACCAATGTGTCTCGTGGCCTTCCATCACGGGAGGAATCAACTAGCGCTCCCAGCAACAAAAATAGGACATTTTTCAATGAAAATATTCCTACTTATTCAATATTTCTAACTGGTTAATCAAATGGTCAAAATTTTCTCAACTAGTCCCATATTTTAACCAGTTAAAGGCGCTAAGTCGCTAATATTTGGGACCTAGAAATTGACACAAATGGGTCGCAACGCATACAATAATGTAATATGAATGTATAAAAATTGATTTACATTCAATCGTTTCTATTTTTACTGTAATTTCTAATCATATAGGTTCGGCGACATACACCAGTATTCTCAATCGAATTTCAATCTCTAGCTTCTGGTTATTCCAGTCTACGCCAATAGTATTTATTGGGCATGCTCTCCAGATAAGAATATAGTGTCACCGTTTGACATTACTTGTGGAATATGCCTAGCCTCGTTTTTCGAGTCCCTTATTTCAAATAGCGCTGAAACGCATTATGGTACACGATTCGTGTACTAATTGTAAAATGTTTATTTTGTCTTAAATATTGGATATCAGAAGGCCATCTTTTTCCGGTAAGATCACAACATCAATGTTGATTTAAACCGACAAATAAATCGTGTTTTCAATGTCGAAGATTTTGGATGATATTGAGTTACAATGATAATACGTTAATTAATATATGACGATATGATAATTTCACAGGTTGATGGCTGTAAATTACTTGCAGGTCGGGGTTTTGGCCTAAATTAATCGATTTATGAGATATATTATTTGACAGAGATAATAATCAGATATGCCACCAAATTGCATATTTGGGGTTCATTTTTCAAAATTTTACAGGGGGAGAGCCCCCGGACTCCTTGTCCGGGTTCAGCGGACAGTAAAAGGGGCCGCTCGGACACGGGAGCCCGAGCCGGTTCCCGGCCCCAATCCGCCCCTGCTCATACAAGACATTTTACCTATTAAACATCAACATCTTGTTTAAAAATTCTACCTCTATTAAAAGCATAGTTATTGTGTTGCAAAGTCTCGACAAATCAAATCACTACTTAGCCAGCCTAGGCAGTAGATTCTGATCATCAAGCTTAGTCAAGGTATTAATGTAATTGGTTGAGAGTGATTAAACTTGGATATTGGTTGAGAGTGATTAAACTTGAGGTATTAAATGAAATGAAATGAAATGAAATTGAGTTTAACGTCCTACTGTTCTGCTCCTAACCTGGGCTAATGAAGACGGGCATACGCCATACAGTGTGCTATGAGGGAAATTTTGCCCGGACAGCGGCACTATAGCCTACTCTTATATCGAATTTCAACTGTCAAGGGATCTTTTACGTGCACGCCAATGTGTACACGGGACCTCGGTTTTTCGTCCCATCCGAACGACTAGACAGCTTTCCTTGTCAGCCCCTCCGTCCTGCATCACTGACAAGGGAGAACCATGCCGAAAAATCTGGATGAACTTTCTCGGCCAACGCAGGGATCGAACACCCGACCTCCAGGCTAGCTAGCTAGCGTCTTACCCACTTAGAACTTGAGGTATAGTTACTATACTCCAAGTTTAATCACTCTCAACCAATTAGAATCAAAGCAGAAAATGTTCATTATCGATGTCTCTACTTAGCCTAAACAGAAAATGCGCATTATCGAACATAGTCATGGTTTTGATGTAATGAAACTATATACAAGTTTCATCAAACTCACTTAATTAGAATATAAGTTTTCATGTCTGAAAGGTGGAGGACAAAAATAATTCTATATTAGCATCAATTCTAGTTATATCAGTATATTAGTTCAAATATAATATCATATGTTTTCATTTTGATATGCGTTCAGTTAAAAATAAATAACAGCCCATACCTTGTTCAATTTTTACAAACTTGATAATTTTATTACGCATTTTTCTTAATACAATTAGTTTTCAACAGTTTATTCCATATATTTAGATACTACAGGAAATAAATTTACTTTGAAGTTTTCTATATATATGTAAATATTTATTTGTAGGTGTTCTAAAAAAAAAAAAGTTTCTATAAAAGTAACCAGTCAAACTAAAATTCAGGTACATTTCTATAATTGTTCCGCCTTTCTTTACACATGTATCACAAAACATAACTATACCATAAAACAAATTGATTTGTTACTACGGCGTTTATATCAGGCAATGTTGATTATTTAAAAGATTCATTGATATAATAAAGTTTTATATGAATGAAAATACAAATGTACTCAATTTATTTTATTTTTTAATAAATACAGAACTTTGAAAAATAAAAAATATAAAAAAAAAGGTTATTGAAGATAATTTATTTATTTTTTAATAAATGCATTACTTTGAAAAACTAAAAATAAAAAAAGAGCTTATTGAAGAGATCAAGGTTATCTTAATGTCAAAATGGATGCAATGCCTCTTTGAAACTAAAATTAAAATTTGCTGCTTTATTATTGTGTATCACTTCCTCTTCTTCTCTGCCCCCTATTTACCGAGAGAAAAAGGGTTATTTTCAACGAAAATGATAAAACCGATTAACAACACACATGAAGCTAAAACAAAATGTTCCAAATAAAAAAAAGTGAATTGATTTATTGAAATAAAACAGACATGTTACATACTTTTCTTCTTCGTCAGTTTTAAATAAATTCAGACGGAATTCAGTTTTCTCTGATGTTAAACTAGCACCAATAAGTTGAGACAACAGATCTAAATGAGCTTTTGCTAATGGATTTGGGTTGCTTGTATCCTACAAAAACAAAAATACATGGACATACATTAAAATATTTAAAGATGTATTTTGTAAGAGCTAAATTTGGCAAGTCTTTCTTTTGGCCTAAAATGTTTTATAAATTATTAATTACACATTTATTCACATAACAAGCCCATAATCAACTCTCTAGATCATCGGATGGTTGTGGTTTTATAATTTAATTTAAAAATGGATAATTGGGACTTTGTTTATTATAATAACAACGGTAGAAATGAAGATAGGTTGCCAGGCAACGAAACATACGCCCACAGCAGCTATATCGTCAGGGCAGTCAACAAGAGTTGTCACATATTTTTACTTTTTTCGGTAATGAAACATTTATAATACATTAAAATCTAAGTAAGAGTAACAACTCATTAGAATTTATTCTGCCCTATGCTAACGTTTAGTATATGAAACTTTAGCTGTTCAAGTCATAAAGATTCATTGAAAATCAATATACTTGTTCGTCTCAAGACCTTAAACTCTGTGTATCAATCTGAAGTCAATCGGATTTTAACTTTAGCCTCTAGAGCGTCCACAAGATTTTTCAACATGATCAAGGGCCATAACTCTGGCAAAGATTATCGGAAATCGCTGAAAATCAATAGGATTCTTCTTCTCATGACCTTAAACACTGTGTATCAATTTAAAGTCAATCGGATATTAACTTTAGCCTCTAGAGCGTCCACAAGATTTTTTGAAGTGATCAAGGGCCATAAATCTGGCAAAAATTATCGGAAATCGCTGAAAATCAATAGGCTTCTTCGTCTCATGACCTTAAACACTGTGTATAAATTTAAAGTCATTCGGATATTAACTTTAGCCTCTAGAGTGTCCACAAGATTTTTCAAAGTGATCAAGGGCCATAACTCTGGCAAAAATTATCGAAAATCACTGAAAATCAATAGGCTTCTTCGTCACATGACCTTAAACACTGTATATAAATTTAAAGTCAATCAAATATAAACTTTAGCCTATAGAGTGAAGGAATTTGATTGAAATTTTCAATATATTCCTTTTCCATTATATTTTTTTAATATATTATAGCAAAACTGTCAGCCCTTTATCTAAATCCTACAAAACGCATTTTTAAATAAGTTCAGATCAATTATTACGACTTTTAACTATTTGAACTGAACTATAAAACTGCAATTATAGCAAATAAATTGCTGACTTCTTTATTTATTTTCAATGAAAGTTGAAATGAATATATCAAAGGATGGCGGCTATGGCAATTGTTTAAAAATAAAACTGATTAATTCCATTTGAAAGTCTCTGAATGAGCAAAGCTATATTCTTGCAGGCGATCACATCCAAAAGTAAACAAGCTATTTCTTCACATTTCAAAAAAATCGCAGAAATCTAGGACTGCTTCTTCTAACAAAGAAAAACCCACAAAAATGTCAGATTGGATACCACATTTGTAGAATGATTTTAAATTTGCCTACTACATTTGAGTTGTACAAGTAAGATAAATGCAGGCCTACTTACTATATCAGAAGAAGGTGTTGTTGTTTTACTGGGTATAACACTAGTTTCAACAGGACGGGAAGCAGAATACCTGTAATATATTATACATAAATTAATTTATCTACTTTTCTTTTCAAATGGATATGTTCTGTTTATAATTACTCTTTGGTGGGAGGTGATTGAATGGGGAGCGAATTCTTAAATTTTCTCTAGTTTAAATTGGTCTTGAAAAAATAGGATTCTTTTGAAAAGTGAAAGTATGCCTTAAAACATGTTCTGCATTATTTTTATTCCATTTTGTGAAAAATATATACAGGCACTGAAAATATATAAATTTCGTTTTACTCAAAGATACTATAAAGCACAACTGCTTATCAAAAGATACAGATGGTTTTATTACAAAATCTTATATCAAAAGAATCAAAATAGGGATACAGAAACAAAATTGCTTGAAAACATTGAGAGAATTCTCAAGTGGTGATCGAAAAAATGTCCAAAACTTGGATAGTCTAAGTTGATAATATAAACCAGTAGTAACATTTCATTCATTTAGTGGTTCTTTTATTGCTTTTCTCAGCTTTTTTACACAATACATGTAAAACTAATTCTTGCCAACAATGATTTTAATCATAAGAACATGGATAAGTTTAGCTGCAAGTATAAACTGGAAATATACATGTAACCTTTCAATATCTAATATACACTCCAACATACTAATCATAATATAGGTCAATAAATGACAAATGTATAAATAAAAGTATAGTTTTATCACATTCTACAAGAAATGTCATAAGTCGATACATTTCTTCATCAGGCTTCTTTCACAATAGAGTTTCAGCTGTCAGTCCCAAGAGAGTCATCTGGCAGCATTAAAAGATCATCTTTTCTTTAAGAAACCGGAACTAGTAATTTGGCCAAATATTTGGTCTGGCTATCAAAACAAGATGATTATGTCCAAATGTCCTTAACGAATGACAGTTATTACAATTTTAAGACTATTTTCTATGATATCGTTTCAAATATATATTGTATGGACTTGCAATGTTATAACTGTTGGCGTGATTGCAGGGGAGAGAGCTGGAGAACAGCAAATGGTAAATTAATCTTGTATTTGTATTTGTGTGTGCAGTGTGTATGTGAAGTGAAGTGAAGGGAGGGGAGGGGAGGAGGAGGGGTGCAGTCACGACAAGTTGCCTGTCCCCATGTGATTGATGCCCCTATTTTAGAGAATAATATTTTTATATATAGGCCTAATATATAACATGGTATGGACATAACTATCTGAAATGTCAGATGATTCAACACTTACATATTTGTACCAAGTAAAGTAACACGATCGCCTTTCATATCAAAAGAACCTTCTTTCTTGGTCATGGTGAAGGAACCACCTGCTGGAAACTCTACATTTTTTGTTCTACCATCATCAGAAAATAACCTGCAAGTAATTCATGACAATGTATGTCCCATGTGCATCTTGCTAAATATATTATATAAAACACTCATCACACGCCTACAACTGCATTCCAAAGAAAGGTTATGTGTATTCATAGTTCTAGTACCTCCAGTAACAAAACAACACCCCACCAGCATTATGTACAATCAACTACCTAAAATGTACATCAATAACAAGATCATTATCCTCTCATTTAGTTGTAATTAAACTAGATTTAAATTAATTCAAGAAACATTTGGTAGGTCCTCACAACCAAGAACAATCTGCTTAGTTTCAACTTTTTAAAATTTGCCAGAATGTGAAACATGTGCGTGCCAGCAGCTTTTTTGTCCAGGCTATAATGTCAAGTAGTCAAAGTGTTTATTATTTTTGTGAAAAAGTTTAATCATTAGTGACCTTAAATGCTCAATCTCTTTTACCCATAAAACTATTAAAAACTTGTAACTCTTCACTATAAAAAAATTATAATTTGAATATGGAAGAGAAAAAATCAAGTGCCATAATTCTGCATGACTTTTCAAAATTAGTTGAAATGTTCCATTAACACTAGTTAACACATTTATAAATGATCCATAATCATTAGGACCCAGACCCGTTGCCTAGCAACCTATCCTATCCATCAATTTTTTCTCATCTTAAATCTAACTTATTAATTATACCCTAATAGTTTAATTTGTGGTCAATAAATTCTGACCTACCTAATACTTCAAAATAGTTCCTTTAGCTTCATCCTAGTGATGCATTTTATGTCGTAAAGATAAAATGAAAATAGCTTTCTATTTTTGATCAACTATTTTCTTAAGCTTATAGGTTTATCATGACATAAATATAAATACAAACACCCATTCAACATTTATACTGTGCATGATTAGAATATCATTGTACATCTATCTGGCGCCATGCCCTTTGGAATATAAATATTTATGTATGTAGAAAACATGAAAGATTCTTTTTAGAACACTTAAAACCACTTCCTAGTTTTTTTATTAACAAAACATGAAACTGACCCTTAATCCAGCCATTTGCTAAACCAAAACTAATTGAAGACAAGAAAGGAAAAATAAAAGAAAAACAGTAATAAATACACAAAAGATAGCCCACACAACAACTATGTCTTGACAGCAGGTTATCCGAAAGGAAAACTTGGATAAGGATCGTTTGTGTCTTAAAGAATCGGTTCTCTATTGTGTTCACAACATTGAAAAAATCAAATAAAAAGCTTATCACCTATCGCGTTCACAAGGTTTTTGAACTATGAAGGTTGCAGAATGTTGAATATTTATAAGGTTCATGCCAAATTTTAAATAAATTCAATAAATCCAATATCGCAACCAAAAACCTTATCTTGACTACAACCTTATAAAAACATAAAAAAAACAGCGGTTGCCAGGCAAGATACGCCCACATTTTGCAAGAGATAGATAGAGAACAAGCTAAAAATAAAAGCTATTTTTCGTACAATCAGGGGCCATATTCCAGAAAGTTATGGTTTGACGTGCGATAATATGGAAAGGGACCAAGATCTTTGGGACATAAACATATATTTTAAGTTTCATCAAAATCAGATAAAAATTGTGACCTCTAGAGGGTCTACAACCTTCGTTTTACATACTTTTACACAATTTGCATACAAAGAGTGTCCATTTTGTCAGGTAGTTTCATTTCGATTTTCCCGAAATTCGCAAATTCAACCTTCATTATGGTGGAATAGTGATATATTTAAAATGTTTTTAAAATCGGATCAAAAATTGTGACCTCTAGAGAATTCACAAGCTAAAAAACACGATTTTTCGTACAATCAGGGTCCATAATATAGGAAGTTACAGTCTGATATGTGCAAATATCGAAAAGGACCGAGATCTTTAAGTTTCATCAAAATCTGAGAACAATTGTGACTTATAGATGGTCCACAATCTTGGTATGACATACTTTTACACTATTTGCGTACAAGGAGCCACCATTTTGTCAGGCAGTTTTGGTCTGAATTTCACGAAATTCAAACTCAACCAACATTACTGTGTAATGGGTTATAAACATGTTTTTCAAGTTTCATCAAAATCAGATCCACAACCTTGATATACCATATGTTTACACTATTTGCGTATGATGGGCGGCCATTTTGTCCAGCAGTTTTGGTCAGATTTTCACAATCTGACCAAAACTGCTGGACAAAATGAACTCAACCAACATTACGGTGTAACGGTATACTTTTCATACAATCAAGGGCCATAATTCAGGAAGTTAGAATCCGATATGCGCGAATATCGAAAGGAACCAAGATCTTTGGGTTATAAACATGCATTTCAAGTTTCATAAAAATCTGATGAAAATTGTGACTCCTCAAGTGTCCACAAGCTAAAAATGTGACTTTTTGTACAATCAGGGGCCATAATCCAAGAACTATGGTCCGATACATGCCAATATCGAAAGGAACCGAGATCTTTGGGATAAAAATTGTGACTTTTACAGTGGCCACAAATAAATGTGAACGGATGGACAGACACACAGATACAGGAACGGATGGACGGACAGGGGAAAATAACTAACGCATAGCACTTAATATCAATAGGGTTCATCCTCATGATTAGTCAAACCTGTTTTAAATAAAAAATCTTAAAAACTCTTTATTTTTAGAGTGATTACAAGATTTTTGATGAAGAGAAAGAGAGAGAGAGAGAGAGAGAGAGAGAGAGAGAGAGAAGAGTGGGTTAAAGTCCACTCGACAAAAACTAGTCATTTTGGGTCTAACATATGGTTCAATTTTATTTCAATAATTTGCTTGTGCATAGGGGTCTTTAGCCATCCAACCTACATTGATGAAAAGAGCAATATCTTAATTTCAGAAGGAGTTGGATGGATGGATGGACCAAAAAGGATGTGTGCGTGGTCAACAATATCTGTCCATATTAACATGTGAATGTCTAAAAACCAAACCAACTGACCAACTAAGATATCTTGGCTAGACTGACATGGAAATCTGACGTCACAAGTTGACGTATGAACAATAAACTTCATTGATAAAAATTACTCGGGTTCTGCAAAAATATTTTCTTTATCAAAAAAAAATAATTTGATAAGAAAATTAGATACGTGTGAAAAATCAGTGTTCTACTTCTGATATTAGGTTGACTGACAGGTTTACAAATTTTAAAATAATTTAGATAAAAACAGAGATATGGAAACTATTTCAATGTTCAGAACACTACTCCCATCAACCAAATGCATAGTATGTTCACTTAATAGTATTATGATAAATGATAACTAAAGTCAACAAGGAAACACCATTCTTACATAATGAACATTAGTGATCCAAATATTTGAGAGAATTGTGGTCCGTGTGAAAAGAAATTAATTATTTACACTGATGAAAACTCAAATGTTCAATTGATATCTCTTCATTTGTCATCTTACTTGACCAACTTTACAACAAAGAATTCAAGGCAACATATTTTAAGAAATAATATTTCAAGGAGATTTCTTTACTAGAACAAAGGTAATCTATTGTTTACATTTTATGAAATTAAACAATTTTGTATTGCAAAGAGCATTGATCTAAAAGTGCAATGTCATCTTACCAGCCAGTTTTCCATTGTTCTTTATTTTCTGAGAAAACTGTAAGCAATACAGCCAGTAATGTAATATTTCAAGTGTTAATGCACAATTCAATTGGTTATTGCAAGTTGTATGAAACAAGTCTTTGTGATTCCACTTTTCTTTTTAAACATATAAAATTTTGTGACAGTCTTAATGTGTTGACTCATGAAATGCGTGGTATAAATATAGTTTAGTAGTAGACCTAAATAGATCTTTTCTAAAGTTATTTCTAGAAAAGAATGAGTATTACACATACTTGGTATTATTGTTCATTCACGTAATGTAAACTTCCAATTAAAAAATTCTCCAAATATTCATTTCCATATATTTATAAAAGAAACCTATTCATTGATCTCAATTTTGCTTTATAGATAATCTGTATTGTTTTGGTATTCAATATTGAATTTTTTCTTGCTTTTGATATTATTTTTGATATATTATAACCTCAAGGTAAATACATTGCTTGTCTAATCTAAACATTAGAGGGTATGATGTTTACAATAGATAATCTCTTACTAGATCCTATCGGCTAACATACCATTGGTTTATTGGATTGGCAGAAATGTTAAAGTTCAGCATATTAGATTTAAAGTTTAAAAATAGACGTCCAATCAATCACAGATGTCTATTTTACAAAATACAAGAACCAAATATAAACTCAATTTATACATGATGAGTTTATCCACTGGCCTCCTCTCTGTACTTCATATTGTATATCTGACAAAGATTGAATTGTTTTATTTAGAGAAAATATACAACCCACCCCCGCCTTCCTCATCAATAATTGTATGTGTCATTTATCGTATGAAGAAAGGATATTGAGGCAACTAGTACTAGTAATTGCTACATGTACAGTCTTTTATGTGACATAGTAACATAGATTACTTCCATTCACAGGTTTCCGTTAATAAAGGAGATTGCTTCCAACATTGAAATTTATAGACTATATTTTATAAAATCAATTTAATTACCGGTATGCAAATGTCAACATTTTGGACTAGGTCATTGATTTTTATATGACGAAAAAGTCTTGGAACTAAATTGACCATTTTATTGAGGTGGTGTGTGTACATGTAGGAGGCCGATACTTTATGCACGCTCTATTAGATTAACACAAAGAATATACACACCCACGCAATGGTCATTGTTCATTAGCGCTTTAATTGACATTGATCTATCAGCATTGATTTTATAATACAAATCTTTTATTAGTATTATAACAATAAGTGAGATACCCTTAAGACATATAAGAACTTTCTATGAGTAAACTTTATGTTACCTGATTAAGATTCATTAAATTCAGGAATTCTATTTCAATGGTGTGTTTATATAGCATTATAGTGTACCTGAATGTCGTCTATCGAAAGACTGAAATACTTTTGCTCTTGCCTGATTTCAAGATTCCTTTCATATATATTCAATAAATTCTTGAGAAGACGAAATCAAATAATAAAACTACAGTATCTTTAATGATTCTAACTTGTAATATTACCTACTATACTTCAATATCAACTTACATTAAACATTTAATTCAAATTTATTAGTCATCTTGTTGATTGACCTGACTGTCAAGTGATCTTTTAAGTACACTGTCAATGGAAACTGAAATAAAATGGGGTTTAATGTCCTGCTTTTCTACACCAATTGGGCGAATGAAGACAGGCATACACCATACAGTGTGCTATGGGGGAAATTTGTCTGGACAGCTGCGCTAAGGCCTACTCTTATTTCGAAATCCAACTGTCAAGGGCTCTATTACATGCAAGCCAATGTGTACACGAGACCTTGGGTTTTTTTCATCCCATTCAAATGACTATACACTGTCCTTGTCAAGGCCTCTGTCCTACACCACTGACAAGGGTGAACCAAGCCAGGAGCGAATGTGATGTATGGTTAGCAAGTCAGCTTCTTACTAACTGAGCTACCACAGCTCCCCACTTAAAGCGAGAATTGCATTTTTTAAAGTCATATGTTTAAAATATGTCAAAATAAAGCCTTAAAATATATGGCATCTATACACACAGTTCTATCTTGTTAAAGAATAATCCTAAATCCTATAATTCACTTTTGTCAGTTTAGAAATTGGCAAATTGTTATTTTCTTTTTCAATCCAACGTTGAATTTTAAGATTTTAGTATCATGCGTGCAGGTTTGAAACGTCTCGTTCAACCGACCATCATTATCCTTATCTGTTTAACCACAGACCTTGACAATCAAGACAACTGTCTCTTCCATTATGTAGTTATCCAGTGAAAAGAAATGATACTTCTATTTTTTATGTGAATGTTTTTAAGTGCTAGAATGATTCCTGTGATTGTATAGTAGTGATTTCACAACCTATTGAGTAAAAGACATAGAAATAATTATGTTTTGACTTTCTTAGAAAATATGCAATTCTCGCTTCAGCAGTTGTTACACTTCTCATTCCTTGTCAGTGACAGCCATTTTGTTATTTGGAGCATTTACGTGGTTAAAAAACAACATTTAAACAACTGGGCTTAATTGTTAGGCTATATTTTAATATTCAAAAATACCCTCTTTGTTCATCAGAAAATGCTACAGGGTAGTCTGTTGAAAGCGAAAACTTAAAAAAAAAAACAGAGACTAAAGACTAAAGAAAAATAAAAACCTAATAACTCCAGGAACTTCTGACCCCCATGGAACTTGACCACTTGTTGGCAAGACAAATCTACCATTGTTACTCTGTACTTTATCTTTTAAAAATATTGATACCTGAAATCAAATTAAAAACAAATATATCGATTTTATTATTATTACAAATAGTGGTGGTGTGAGTTCATTTAATAAATTCTAGGTCTTTCAATATTTACAAACAAATATAAAAATCAATGTACATTTTATTATTATCGACAGTATCTCAAGACAATGACAAGGCAAATATCAAATAGCAATGTTCTTTATTGACCTAAATATGACATTCAATACATGTTCTATCACATCAGTGATTAACTGAAATCTGAAAGATAATATTCATGTCCCTTCATTTTTTACATCATCCTTCCATTATCTCATTCATTTATTTGTTTTTTGGTTGTAAATGACCTACATGTACAGTAATAATACCAAAGATTTAATATTTTGTCAAATTTGACATCAATATGTTGGTTGCAGCAAAGTATGAGTTCATCCTAAGTTGGTACATGTAATATTTTCAAAATTTTTCAAGTATGTTAAAATTGTGAGGACAGAGAAAGAGAGATAAATTTTCCTAGAGAAAACCTAAGAGGTTAGGAATGCAGCCTTACTCACACCCATGTTTTTAAAATTATGATATTTGATTCCAATCAACAAATAGAATAAACCCATACGATCATACAGATTCCAGAAAATGGTTTCTAACTTGTATGGTTGCAGAGGAATTGACGGTTTTCTACAAGTCACTTTTTAAGGTTTTTGGTCTATAAAAGTGGCAATTATTATTCGATTTACATAAAATTTTCACCATGTGATGCCTTATGCCATTTCTGATTTCATAAAACTAATTGAATATTTTCATTATCACCGGAAGTACTGTACACTTACATGTAACAAATATATAAAATGAATTGATATTGCTGGATTTGGTTGATTCGGCGTCCATTTTATTTGATGTGTGCAATGATGAGGTGGAAACCTGTTTAATGGTTTCATTGGTACCGGAAGTGACATATGTTTAGGGTAACGTGGCACCGGTGAAACCCGTCATTACTGCATCGCAGTTCTAGTGATGATTGTTTTTACCAAAAAAACAATCATCCAACACGTTGGCCGTTTTATTTTCCACTTGAGCATATCTCAGAAACTACCCTTCGGATTGATCCGATATCTTTGGTTTTTCAGAAAAGATGGCATGACTTAAGAGATTAAATATATTTCGAAAATTCTGCGAAAATGCGAAATGTTCGAAATCACCGAAGTTGCTTTTTTTTAAAAATATTGCCGTAATATTAACAATAATTCCCGAATTTTAAGGTTTGATACATTTTGACATAGCCAGAGACAAGGCAAATAGCTACGGTTCTTTAGATTTTTTATTTTCGATGACTCTTCTGAGATATTAAGCGCCAAATTTTGAAAATTTAAATTTTTACAAAATTTTTTTTATTAAAGAATATTTCGTTATGGTATTTTGTCAAGGCTAAAGGGTCGTCTGATTTGAGCAAAAATGTCAATAATTTTTATCTAGATAATTTTGCTTGACGTCCATTGGCTAATTCAGTTTTTCGCTCGTAGATTGATTTTTTATTGTTCAATTTGTTTAAAACCAAGTTCATATGCTCATTTTTCCAAAATGTCATTTTTTTTGTTACCGATATAGTTATCTGTCGGCACCGGAAGTGACATAATTTTAACAAAAACTATAATTTTGACAGTTCGGTACCAATTTTTGAAAGCAAATATAATTTTTTCAAAATTTGATATTACCAAAAGGATGCGCCATGCAAAGACGCACAAAACATCGGACTCAGTTTTTTTAATTTCGATTTCGTTTTTGAGCTATTTCGATTAAAAGGTCAAAAACGGTGAAAAATTAAGCTATTTACAACCCATTCAGCGTCTTCAAAATTTTAAAATATGTCTTCGTAACTTTCATAAACTCGTAGCAATAATGCATACGAAGAGAATGTATGTGAAAATTAGTTTGTTATATGAGCAGTTGCCGAGAAATAGGAAATTTTGTACGCGTCACTTTTCACATTATTTTGCCTGTAAAGGAGTCAATTATTATTCGATTTTCATTTTTTTGTTACCATTTGATGACTTTTGCCAATTTTGACTTGGTCAAACCAATTTAACATTTTCGCTGTCACCGGAAATGACATCATTTGGGCAAAAACTGTATTTTTAGCCTTAAAAAGCAATATTTTATTCAAATGATTCTTTTTTTGTAATGTTTTTAAAATTATTATATTTGATTCAAATAAACAAACAGCATAAACCCATTCGATCATACAAATACCACAAAATGGTTTCTAACTTGTACGGTAGCAGAGAAATAGACGATTTTCTACAAGTCACCATTCATGGTTTTTGGTCCATAAAAGTGTCAATTATTATTCGATTTTCATAAAATTTTCACCATGTGATACCTTAGGCCATTTATGATTTTATAGAACTAATTTAATATTTTCATTATCACTGAAATTAATGTCATTTTTGCAAAAGCTGTATTTTTAGCCTTCAAAACAAATATTTTTTTTGTAGTGGGTTATGTTTATTATTTGTTTAACAATATGATATTTGACTCCAATGGACATATAGATTGAATCAATACGATCATATAGTTGTCTAAAAATTGCTTCTAGCATCTTCCCTTGTCGAGAAATAACCAATTTTGTCAGGATCAATTTTTCAGATTTTTTTCGCATTTTAATTTCCCATTAGAAAGTCAGCTTACTTAGCGGCAGGTCAGTAACAATTTTTGTCAGAATCACATTTTTGACTCATGTAACACATGGCAACAAATGTATAACTAGAACTGCGACGCAGTAATGACGGGTTTCACCGGTGCCACATTACCTTTGAACTTGCTCTATGCCAAATAGCCGATTATTACTTACAATATTATTATACAACATTTGGGAAATATTCCTTATTGTATGTCTGTTTTTCATTTTGAGTAAGGGGGATGGATGACCTAATGGTTAACTCGTGCGCGCTGTGTCATAAGGTCTGTAACTGAGTCAACTGGCGTGGTTTTGATTCCCCCGTTGTAACGTGATAAGGAGTAGCGTCGCCTGTCCAACCCCTTGAATTATTGAAATAAAATTGAACCATATTAGTCCCGAAATGACCTAGTTTGTGTCGAGTCCACGTTACCCCCCCTCTCTCTCTCTCTCTCATTTTTAGAAAAGTATTGGACTGGTGTGTATAACGTTTTTGTTCTTTGCACGTGTATGTGCTTATGTTAGGTATTTAAAGATCAACCTATGTGAATTCTGCCCTCTTATCCTTTAGTATAGATCATTATACTGTATATTATTATAATACATTGGATTGCTTCTTTAACTTTCTCCGGGTCCTCCAGTTTCCCCCCACTGCTAAAGACCCCTACGCGCAAGCGAATTATAGAAATAAAACTGAACAATATGTTAGTCCCAAAATGACCTAGTTTGTGTCAAGTGGACGTTAAACCCCATCTTTCTCTCTCTCTCTCTCTTCTCTCTCTCTCTCTCTCTCTCTCTCTCTCTCTCTCTGCTTCTTTAACCTGAGACTGTATGTATAATACGTCCAATAGCTTGTTTGACCCGTGACTGTGTGATTTGGATTGTTGTTGGTAGCTCTAAGGACCTTTTTATCTGGAATTGGTGAATATTTGGTGAAAATTTGAATTCTTCGAAAATAGTTTAAAATACGACACATCAAAAATATTCAAACTTTTATCTTGGTAGAAACATTTGACGTGGATTCATTTAATAATAAATTTTACATGGCTTGAAATTGATTTTGTTTATTTGTACATATTTCTAGAGAATCAAACAATACACCAAATGTTTTAAAAACATGACAAACAAGCAACACTACAACATTTCTTTCACCATCCAACAAGTTATTGTATGACAGATGTCTAGAAAACAATACATTTCTAACCAATAATAAAACAGTTGTTTTGCACATGTAGCATTAAGTCAGCCATTATGGAAAATTTCCTATTGATTGAATCAGTGAATATTTTATTTAAACCTCAAAATAAACTTACAAAAAAGATAGAGAATAGATTGTGAGAAACGTTTTCCAAATCTTAAATTTACCATGTGCTCAGCTGTATTGATTTTCTCGCATGTTTTTATGTTTTATTCTTTACATAAATAAATATAGAAATTAATCAGGGTAATTTATCCAATCACCCCGTAGAATCAAACACTGGTTAATATATCAAAGTAGAAGCAGTTTGATGAACTATCGGCAATTATTCCACTTCTAATGATCACAATATTTAATGATAAGCCTACTTACTTACTTGTACTTATGTGTTAAACATCTTATACTTAGAACGAAATCTGCATATTATATAAACATGGTTAAAGTCATCTAAGCCTATTGGTCCGTCGTAATTAAAAAAATTATTGTTTTTAGAAATGATTTGAAATCGGTAATACATTACAAGCTTCACATACACCGTACAATAGGAGTGACATTAAGCAATACGTTTTCTTTAAAGAGAAGACTTCCCACGTTATTTGTCCTAACGTTTAATAATAATAATAATCAATTTGTATAACTCTGAGTGTTCCAGCTAATACGACAAAGTGAAGTAAAGGGTTAGGGTTAGGGTTATGTCACTTCCGGTAACAATGAAACCGTTAAACATGTTTTTACATAAGCATTGCACACGTGTTACAAAATAGACAGAGAATCATCCAAATCCAGGGACATCAATTCCATTTATATATTTGTTACCTGTTACCATGTGTTACATATGTTAAAAAGTGATCCCGGTCAAAATTGAAAATTTTCGCAAAATTACGTCACTTCCGGTGGCGACATAAAAAAACATTATCGGTAACAAAAAAGTTAGCGATTTGCACCATGAAACATATGAACTTTGTATAATAAATATCGGAAAGTAAATAAGTAACCTAGAACCAATAAACTGAAATTAATAAGGCAAAAAATCTTTAAAAAAAGGATCCTGACAAAAGTGGTTATTTCTCGGCAACGGAAGATGCTAGAAGCAATTTGTGGACATCTATATGATCAAATTGATTCAATCTATACTATTCAAAAAAAGT